TATTGTTTTATCAATGATGTATACGTGGACTTTATTGGAAAATACCCGCTGCAGAACATGGTTTACTTCTACTTTTTCGTAGTAGTATCCTGTATACAGTGGACCCTTTTTTGTCCCCTTTAAAATATAACAATCGCTGGTTAAAACAGAGCGTGAGAACATTTGATTGCGTGATGAAAATGGCTCAGCTGTAACACCTCAGCTGCCACGCCACAAGGAGGCATAAAGACTCAGATACCGTCAGGTTGCTTAAGCCTAGATAGGACCAGTTGGGATGGCGTAGTAGGGTTTGATGCACGGACCTTCCGGAAAAGTTCGCGCGGAAGCAAACGAGGGTACTGATTACTGAATTTGACACAAGACGAGGCCAGAGATATGCTAGCTTCGCGAACTCTACTTTAAACATACTAGAAATTGGTTATAGTCATTTGAGTCCATAAAATTTGTAATTTCAACGGGCATGTACAAGTGTGGCAGGCACTAACAAACAATTACTGAGTGGAGTCGAATCACCTTGGAAGAAATAAAGCACTTCTGTGCGTGGATTCAACAGTATGGACATCTAGTCCACAATGAGGCAACTACCGAGACCAGTTTCAGCCTTTAGAACGCAAACCATGTACCATATTACGAGTAAGAACATTGCCTGACAAGTGGGTTCTGAGGACTAACAGGCCATGTCCTTCTTAGAAATCCCAATCTCGTGATGTAAACAACTTCGAAGCAGCGCAATTTCATCGTCCTCGAATAGGCTGTCGGGTTCGTTCATCATCAGGTACCGAGGGTACGTTGGTTCCAGCTTTTACAGTTTCGATCACCGAAAAATGGGACAGAGCAAGAGATACAGCCAAGCATTGGAGGCGATAGCTTTGATGCATGAGCACCGTTGACCGCATGATTGAACTATATCTGCAAGTACCATTAAACCTGAGGTGCTCATCCAGGGAGACGCCAGTGGTTGGTCCGACTGAGTTGACTGATGTTTTCATACTTCGTTGCCAGGTCACGTACTGTCTACTTCTCGGTTGCTTCCATTCAGAACAGAGCTGGGCGAAGAGCTCTACAAGGCACACGGTCCTCTAGCATTCAGGGTGCTGCCCTAACCAGAGTAACGTATGAAGTGCAAGTAATTCATCTTGGAAAATAAAATCGTTTAGCTGTAGCATCCTTTCGGTACCTAGCTGCCATGCCACCTTAAAAAGCATGAAGGCTGGGATACTGTCAGGTTACCCAGGCCTAGATAGGGGAAGCCGAGAGGCAGAGGTCGGGTCATGTTGTTGTAGTGTGATAGATGACAGATGAATGTGCAAGGCCCGGGTCGCATTTGCTAATTTGAGACGCCTATGGCATCAAAGTAGTGTATCCCCGAATCTCAAGGGACGTATGTAACAAGCTTCAGTACGGGCTGTTTTGTTGTATGGCTGTGAGACCTGGCCTGTTTGGGCAGCGGAACTGAGATGTCTTCAGGCGTTCGACAATCGTTGTCTCAGAACTATAGCTCGTGTGGGTTGGTGTCGGCGAATTTGTAATGAGGCAATTAGAAAGCGAGTTTTCCGTTGTGCAATGGGTACTTCCATTAAGAATGTGCCCAGCACCAGAAGCTGCGTTGGTTGGGAATCAGGTACCGAGGGTACGTTGGTTCCAGCTTTTACAGTTTCGATCACCGAAAAATGGGACAGAGCAAGAGATACAGCCAAGCATTGGAGGCGATAGCTTTGATGCATGAGCACCGTTGACCGCATGATTGAACTATATCTGCAAGTACCATTAAACCTGAGGTGCTCATCCAGGGAGACGCCAGTGGTTGGTCCGACTGAGTTGACTGATGTTTTCATACTTCGTTGCCAGGTCACGTACTGTCTACTTCTCGGTTGCTTCCATTCAGAACAGAGCTGGGCGAAGAGCTCTACAAGGCACACGGTCCTCTAGCATTCAGGGTGCTGCCCTAACCAGAGTAACGTATGAAGTGCAAGTAATTCATCTTGGAAAATAAAATCGTTTAGCTGTAGCATCCTTTCGGTACCTAGCTGCCATGCCACCTTAAAAAGCATGAAGGCTGGGATACTGTCAGGTTACCCAGGCCTAGATAGGGGAAGCCGAGAGGCAGAGGTCGGGTCATGTTGTTGTAGTGTGATAGATGACAGATGAATGTGCAAGGCCCGGGTCGCATTTGCTAATTTGAGACGCCTATGGCATCAAAGTAGTGTATCCCCGAATCTCAAGGGACGTATGTAACAAGCTTCAGTACGGGCTGTTTTGTTGTATGGCTGTGAGACCTGGCCTGTTTGGGCAGCGGAACTGAGATGTCTTCAGGCGTTCGACAATCGTTGTCTCAGAACTATAGCTCGTGTGGGTTGGTGTCGGCGAATTTGTAATGAGGCAATTAGAAAGCGAGTTTTCCGTTGTGCAATGGGTACTTCCATTAAGAATGTGCCCAGCACCAGAAGCTGCGTTGGTTGGGACATGTGTTGCGTATGCTGTTTTCCATGCCCAACTCAGAGTGGCGTAAGCAGAGAGGTTGCCAACCCTTGACACCGTAGAGGGGTATGAAGGAGATCACGTTTGGGTGTTGTCGGTGCTACTTGCCTACCAGGATGGGGACCGCATGGTCCCCACTGCCCCTGGTTGGGGACACTACAAGATATGGCTGATAGCTGATGTCAGTGGCGTTCTTGTTGTCAGTTTCTGTCCAGATTGCCTGAATGAACGTCTGTAGGTGTAAGCGCCTCGGAATGATCGTGGTAAGCTAGCACCAAGTCCCATCCCCGTCCAACTTTATTATTTTCTTTACAATAAGGCTTTCAAGTAAATCATGGTTGTACGGCAGTGAAGCGTCGGTGTTGAACACTGATGTTATGCTGTCGATGGTGATGATGATGAGGTTGGATTCTAACCACGGGCCTTCTTGTCAATGAACTCGCGCTCTAACCACTGAGCCATATCGCCCCGAGTAATTCATCTATCGCAGATTTTCTTTTCACTAGAACCATCTGGCGCACCTCAGCACTGTTAATCCGAAGTTACCACCAGACCCGATCAATGCTTCGGAGACACGGATAGTCAAACACTAACGGTTTTTGTATTTCCTCTGCACGTAGAGACCACGCTTCTGATGGATCGCAGTGTCGCAGTATATACTCCAGACTTGACAAATAAACTGACGTTAAGGAAGCGCCATACGAGTCGGAGTTGGGGGAGCCGCGCGGATCCACCAGACCCAATGCTTCGGAGACACGGATAGTCAAACACTAACGGTTTTTGTATTTCCTCTGCACGTAGAGACCACGCTTCTGATGGATCGCAGTGTCGCAGTATATACTCCAGACTTGACAAATAAACTGACGTTAAGGAAGCGCCATACGAGTCGGAGTTGGGGGAGCCGCGCGGATGGTGGTTGCTGCGTACATCCAGGTGACCTTAACCAGAGGCCGCTTTGGGAAGGCAAACATTGTTCTCAAATCCGAGCGTTGATTCTGCTAATAGGGTGCTACAACCCGGACAAATTATAAGCCTTGCAATTCTGCTAACAGTAATTGGAAAGCAGGATGTTTTGTGGGCCCAAGTAGGGTTTGTCAGGTACTAGACCAAAATGAGAAGTCATCGAGACCAGTTTTGCGGCTGGATGCTGCAGATCGCAAATGTGCGAAGAAAGCACGTCCGCAAGTGATTTTTGTCAAGTATTCTGTTTAAGTTACGACTACAAACATGGTACTGGATCACAACACCATATTTGGGACCATGAAGTGCTCTAGCGCAAATCCAGTCAGAAGTCGCTTGCACACTTGTGTCAAAATAGGCAGATATGGTCCCATGGATATGCACTAGGGTGAAAGGGGCGACCAAGTATCACAACAACTGCCCGTACTCCAAGCGAAAGGCTCAAAATCGAATCCCCCAAAATGACGCATAGAATGGTTTTCTCCACTGTTTCTCCTAAAAACTGACGCGTCTCAAATGTAAGTTGCTGCGCCCGCGCCGCACTGTTCTTCGAGAACCTCCCCTTCCAGAGTACCAGCGTTTGACCGGATCACAGAACGCACGTCAAGATTTTACCTTTACTAGTGCTGGAAGGTTTTTCGTCAGCTCTCCCCTTTTTCAAGTGATACTACTGTTGCAACTCCCGCTGGATAATGTTGACCCAGACCGCGGCTGGGTTTCGGTGCAAAAAGGTTCAGGAAACCCTGGCAAGATGGTATGATTAAATATTGGGGTAGGTTATTGAATAATTCCTTACAAGCGGTCCGAATGTTTAAACACGCATTAGTTGGTTCGCTTATCTTTTTACCGCTCTGAAGAAAGCCTTGTGAAAATGCAGGTCTGTACTTCTCGACTTCACCCGGCCAACTATTTACCCGATTGTCAGTATAGAGTCAAGAAATTCAACCTCACCTCAAAGAGGCACCCCATACGGTAAAACATGCTCATAATGATCGTCTTTCTCGCAGTTTTTCGGAGGCTGGAGCAAGTAGAGTCCTCACCAACAAATCCATAATCCGTGGGTGTCGCTTCTATTGACGTTGAGAAGAGCCTCAAATCTTCAGTTGAGCGGTCGGGATGTCATCGTTCTTCTTTGCAGCAGCACACTAGTTTCAAATTTTCGTGTCCCCAACGTCTGCGTGATCCTCGGACACATAATCATAATGTAAAGACCGATCCGCTTTCCTCAGGCTCCCCATAAACCGTCTCCAGCTTAGCTTACTCGGTTTCGGGTACACGTCCAGGCCAGGGGGCAAACGGAGCAAGGAATCATTATCGTACTCTTAAAATTGTCGCGCACAGGAGGATCTGCTGGCACTTCGATCGTACTAACCAGTACAAGTGCCCATCATGAACTCTTAGAATACCTTAGGGTCGAGCAGTTTGAGTGGCTGTTCCGAAAGGCAGGTCAAACGTCATAATAAAAACGGACGTGCTGGACGACCCCATGAAACGCTTTACTGACATCGCAGAATGTTGATACGTCTACCTTATTCGTAATCTGAATACCAACCAGAACTTACCTCGTGAGTTAGAACCCGTACAGGGATTCCGAATGCCCGTGCTAATCCAAAGTCAGCAAGTTTCACTATTTTCCGACCAACATCCACAAGTATATTCTGTGGCTTCAGGTCTCGGTGTATGACACGTCTCCCGTGACAAAACAACAGTCCTTGAAGCATCTGATACATAAAACTCTAAAACGATAGTACGTAAGCGATTTGGTATACTCTTGTAACGCTCGGGTCCAACATATTCTTTCGCCCGTGGTCATCGAGATAACGTTTCAGGTCCACATTAAGATACTCGAATACAAGGTACAACCTCCCACCATCCATTATCACTTGCTCCAGACTAAAGTTCCGAATTATGCCTAGGTGAAGCTCACCTAACAATATTTGGATGCTGCAATTCCTTGAGGAGTGATATTTCTCTAATGGCGGTGGACGGCACACCTTCCTCGTCGTTCTCCAACCGTATTTTCTTCAGCGCAGCTAACCGCGAATTGCGTTTATTGCGGCACTTATACACAACGCCATAAGTACCTGCAGGTGTATGGAATTAGATTAAGTGGAAGATTTTGGAACATAACCTTCGCCTATCTTCTCCAGTCGGATGAAATCCAACAACGAAAAAGGGCCTTGGGTGGACATAGGACGAAGTTCGGCCGTGAGCGCGCTGTTACAGGTTTTCGCGCGACATAACAATTGGCCAGTTACGCCATCATCGATACAGTTCCTCAACCTGAGATCGAGCACTTCCGTTTTGAACAAATTACCTGACACTTAGCTGCGTCAAACTCTGACATGTGGAAATGACGTTTTTTTCGAGCTTTGCAAAGGTTCGCAAATGCGATTTTCTCCAGACTGAGCCTTAGAAGCACACCCAAAAATTGTGTGAAACCATAGTTCCGAAGGGGGAAACTTTAACGTGATATTTCAGCATTCAATGGTTTTTATTCAAGCCCTTTAGCTATCCCCATGTGGCTGCGGTTTTGTTGGAGTTTGTTTAAACATACTCAAGACTCACCACTGCCGCGGAATTCATATTTTACTGGTGTACGGTGTGTATGTAGCGTGGACGGGTCGGCGCAATACGCTGTAAGGCAACATGTACACCGGGCTAACTCAGACACAGCAGCACGTGTAGGTACAGCAATCACGACGCACGGATAGGAAAGCAGAACGATCGCGTTGCAAACACGGATATTCGACACCTAAACCGGAACCGGAACCGAACAAACGGGTACATGTCATGTGAAGTACAGAAATAAACTGGTCGATGTCACTTGGGAGTGTACTAGCAAGCTACCTCTTCCTGTGCCGCGCTCGTGGTGACGCGCTCGGGATACTTGTAAGTAGGAGAGAGAATGAGAGTTGCACACATAAGCATGTCTAGGCGGGGATGGTCAAATTTCAATTGAGTTACACTGGCTGCTACCGGCTTCACAGGAAAGTGCGATTCATGCACAAGCCAACATTCTGAGTATTTAGTTGCGCACAGGCCAGGAGGCGCGCGCGTTCGAATTGCATTTAGGGTCAGGCAAAGAAAAAAGCGATTTAACTGGTTGAAGCGCATAAACGAAAGAAAGATGGACTGTCAGCGCAAGGGGGAAAATAGTATGAAACAATTTAAAGAATTTATTTCAGGAGGTCCCTGCTTCTCCGCCTGAAATATGTGCAATCAGGTATTTACAAAATAAGAAGGCCTAACATCGCAAAACGTATCAGCGCACCTTGACGTGTTCATCGACATGGCTTTCTTCACACAACCCTCTTCTAACTACCCACATCACTTCTTCCAATAAAAGCTTGGCACGAACTTGGCATTTATGTTTTCGGAAATATAGATCCAAGCCTGGAAATGTATACAGATGTAAGACTTTTCGCACTCGGAACATTAAGTTGCTTTCATCTTAGTTAACACGTTAACGTATTAACAGCGAAAGTCGGAAAGGAGTTGGGTGACGTCGCCCGGATTTGGACCGCGAATCTACAGGTCCGCTCCCAAGCTTACCCCACCCGGCCACCGAGCCACGGGTGGCAGTTGTGCAAACCTCAGCTAAGCAGCTAGGCCTCGTATGTAGTAGTGGTATGGTTTTGTATGGATCACGTGACTAAGATCGGCCAATCATTTCCTTCAAGTTGGCTTGTGCATGAATCGATTGGGTTCCCCGGGGGCACCCAGTATTCCTACAATGGAATGAAGTTTTCAAAGGTACCCGATGAACCGAACCATTTCAGAATACCAGTCCAAACTTTTGAGCCCCTTTAGGCATCCCGACGTCTCAGCGATGTTGGGAAATTATTCCACCGGACTTGCAGCCGGAGGTCTGATTGCTTCGGTTGGCACTAAAATTTGGGGGGCTGCGAAAATGCTTTTTGGTTTGGGCTCATGTGCAGCAAAATGAAAAATCTTGCCGCAAAAGATTTTGCTCTATTTACAAACGCTTTGCAGCTAAGATCATTGTGCAGCTAATGTACCCCCGGCTCCGCACGATGTGTCCGTGAAGTCGGCGGGAATTTCTTGTGTAGAAAATTTGGTTTATTCACACGTTTCCTTCCTTAGCGGATTTGAAAATAATCTCAAAACTACACGAACAATAACCACGCCCTCTATGTTGACACAAACTCAAAATGGATCAGCTATTCGTGAGCCGTGTGGGAGAAATTTTCCATCGCTGCGACAGGCGCCAAAATAGTTCGTCACAGATAGTAAGTTTTTTCATAAGGGTCACCAAGCGTCATACCGGATGCACGATAAGTTTTTATCTTCAACGGTAAGCTGATCTCTTGGCAGTACCGTTGAAACAAATTGGTGGGTTTTTGGGTGGAACAAGCAGACAGTACAACTGAATGGCCAGTGCTTTGAATTTCTGCGTCGAACTCACTGGGACACTCTTGTGGACGCACGTGGCGCTCGGTCCGGAAACGTTAGGAATATGATGAACTACGAGCAAGCCACCAGATTGTGTCCCATGATGCCGTATTTGGGTTCGTGGAAGGCTCCATACATGAACATCTTGAGTGAGTCAGTCGGGGTTCTCATGATGGTTAAGATTGGCCAAGAAATCATGTCAAGTTAAGAGCCGCATTGCTCACGGATATTCTTGGGTCCGTCGAGGGGCATGGTGGACCATTGCGATAAGGCAATAAGGGGCCAAGTCTATATTGAGGACCCAAGATGGAAGTGCTAGAGAGTTCTGGTAGAGGACACTGTGGTACAAGTTAGATTGCGGTCCGAAATAACAGGCAGCCAAAGGCGGCCACAATTTCTAAACACTAGGGCAAGGCGACACTGTCCAATTTCAAAAGGGGTATTCAAAATTCAGGCCCAGATAATAGGTATGGAATCAAAGCAAACGGGTGTCAGCATGAGTGATAATAAAGGTTTCGCAATGGCTTAATTGTGTGTCTGTCCTCGTGATAGCTTCTGGTTCATTTTCGCCATGCATGACAAAGGTGTTTGCGGAGCCTCCTCCGAACGACATGTGGACACATGTTTCCGCATTCAAAGGGGGGCAGCAGTCGGCGACGATTGCTTTGCGGCGTCGATCTACATGTTGACGGCGCTGCAGGATTTCAATCGTCCGCACAAGGTAACCGTGGCCATGGACGAACATCTGGAAGGTTGATGACGTAGATCCGATAATCGCTTGTCGAAAATGGATTCTTGGGTATCTCCCAGGGACACGGGCATAAGAGTAATGAAGATAGTGTACAGATTCATTTAGAATGTCCTCTCTGATGTAACCATCTCAACACAACACAGTAGCTTGCTTTGGTACCCGTAAGACTGGATAATTTGGAGCGACGGGACCTGTGTGACTCAGTCGAATCCCTCCAAGAAGTGTCTAGCTTGGGTTAAGGTGTCCATAGATACATGGATGCGTGGGACACGAACTTTTGCGAGTAATCTATTTTGCGCTGTGGAAATCAGGTTGTTGTTGCTTAGATAATTTAAGATGACTGCTTCAGAATGTGTTGCATTTGCTTGCACGGTATGCCAGTGAAGTTGACGGGCCTGTAGGTGCCGAAACAAATTTCGCAGGCTGGCTAGCCAACCGTTTCTTCCCAAACTGGAAGAAGTTAGCTTCCGTTTGGCGAATGACGAAACACCAGGATGAAATGCTTTGCCAACGAGAGCAAATATAGTGTGAGGATTTTCTAAGTAGGTTTCGTCTGGCCCCAACGAGCTGAAGTGAGTTGTCTCGTGCAGGAGCTGAAAAACGCCCTTCTTTGTAAAGACGAAGTTGGCTCGCGGCCGTCTGCATCCAGCCTTGAAGAGTTTTGATGTGACGAGGTCACCGGGGCAGATAACCGCCCCTCATATTTTTCCTGGGGGCACCGTATACTATTCTTGGTTTGCAGTTTCCTTCAGCGGTCACTTTCATACGGGTGGTTTTAAAAATACAAGAGGCGTTTCACAACAACTGCCAATATGACCATAGTTTTGTGGCGAGTTGATCTGCCGCCCAACGAATAATATATGGAGGCTGAAAGGTTCGGTTCTTCCCTTTCCGTGTGAATTTTCGGCGTGAATTGACTCGTACCCAGACCTTATGGCGACACCATTTCTTGCCGGACTTGTTAGCCTACTTGTTCTGGAAACTGACTCCGAGATAAAAATCACAGGCCCTTCATGCGACCGTCCACTAGGGGCGCCTTGGCGGTCTTCAGTGCTGCGTCAGAGAGCAGGATAAAATTCTTCGCGGCAAACGGATCTGCGATGGAGAGCGGTAAGTACTCGTTCAGGGGGAATTTCTTTTTCGACTTTTATGCGGGTCGCAAAGTTCTTTGTGCTTGGATCTTGGAAAGCCTTGGAACGAAGCGCCAGTTTTTTGTGTTCCGATTAGAATGGGACGTTTGCACTGCTCTTCCATTCTCGAAATTGGGGAATTTGCTTCATAATCGGGAGATCTTATGTTACTTGTGGAATGCATAGAACCATTTGGTTGTAGGGGGCTGGACCAGTTCAAATGGTCGGGAGAGCCGAATGATAGTTGTATTTGATCACCTCACAAACCTGTACACTCAAAATGCTATCAGATTTGGCAGGCGTGATATAGCATTCACGTCTAGCCTTCGAGTTATCCATTTCATCCACATCTGATATGGTCCACCGGATAGTTGTAGCACGCAGCAGCCTGGCTCTTGATTGTGAACATGTGGGTGTGTAGCGACACAGTCACCCACATACTTGACTATTCAGCTCACAGTCGCTCAGTGGATCGCGAGACTTGTCTTTTCTCTCATGCTCACAAACACGTCACATTAAACTGACTCATCGAACGTCCATTGTCTGCATCGCATAGTCAGCGTAGCAACCGCCTATGTGCCGACGCACTGGGACCTACATA